GTAACAATATTAAGTTTGTTTTCTCTAGTGATTCGAAGAAGTGAGCAATCTGTCAGTAATACATTGAGGGAAAATCTACCCGCTGACAAACAAATTACAGTGTCTAACTTTGAAAAGGTAACTAGCTGTTTTTAATTTTGATTGGTCTCACCAAATCTCTTTCACATTTACCCAATCCCTATTCTTCACTGTGTTAAAAAAAAGAAAGGACAACCACATGGTTTTTGCATTTGAAAAAAATATTATTGCCTACATCCGAGAGTGTTATGTCAGATAAAGCTGTTAAACTGTGTCTAACCAACATTAAGACTGGCAGCCTTGCCAGTGACTGACTGGGTGAGTGAACACATTACTGAGACAGCATTGTAGAAATTAATTTTCTTCAATAAAGTGATTTTTAAGGCTCATATATTTCACAATCTAAACATATGTCACTGTTTCATAAACAAAATAAATGGATTAAAATAATACATTACCAATATGCTGACACATGGAGATATTTTAATTAGAAATACTTAAGCTGCGTGATATTTAACTGCTATATTTGTTGAAGAGGAGCATGCATCATTTAATAAGACATAAGGCAGGTACATCGCTTTGCATGATGTGGTACCAGAGTGGGACCAAATCACCTCCAGTGTAAGCTATCACTATCAGATTGCATTAGCCCCACTAAAAAATTGCTTTAAGGTTACAACTTATAAAGGAAACTCCATAAAGAGATGCAGTCCACTAAAACAACTTTTTCATTGGAATAATAAGTCACCAAGATTCTCGTTCCTGAGAATAATATTTCTTCATAAAAGGCCACATTTAACATCTTAGCTATTTAAAGGCCATATTTACATGACTGTCGCATAACATTGGCCTCTTTCCTGCACATTCTTCTTGACTTACTTTAAGGACCAGCACTAAAATAGCTGAGGAAAGCAAATGTCAACTGTGTCCTGAAATTTATATGTGTGAGAGAATTGGAATAAGTAGAAATGTAATATATTGTTTACTGTACTGAGTGCCCTCTGTTCTCTAAAGGTCAAAAGCATTGTAACCTTAGAGTTACAGTTTCTGATTGTTCCCAGGGTTAAATACATTATCAAAATTAATGGTTCAAACCCCTCAACCTTCAGATATATGAGTATTCATGCCTCCATCTGCTGAACTGTTCAACTAAAAATAGCATTCTTTGGCCTTCACTCGACTAATATTGTGCCCCTGAGGCAGGCTATGCAATGCTTCAGCAGCGCACTGGATCCGCACCCAGCGGTATAACAAAAGGTCATTTACTTTGTCTGCAATTAGAAGAGAGAACGGAGGAGTAGGATGAGGTGGGAGGGGAGAATAGGAAGAGACAAGTATGTGTTTAGTTAATATTTAAATTTTTTTAATGGATTATAAAAACTTCAGGCTTCAAGAACACAGCTGCAAGTATAGTTAAGACTTGCCAAGGTTCATTAGTGTTATAAGCGATAAATTTCAAAGGACAAATTACACAAATAGTTTGGGGAAAAAGTTATGAACTAAAGCTTTTCTGTTTTGCTTTTTTTCCTTGAGCTCACTTTGTTTAGGAATAACTCCAGCTAGCATCATTGTACTGCTTCCACTTCTATCAACAGTTTATCAGCGGTGGTTGAGAGTTGCGACATTGCCTTATTTATTACATAAACTGCTTTATAGAAATATATAAGAATGAAAGCAGATTTTTAAACAATAAAGAGCATGCAGTAACATTCCTTGTTTTAAAGTGGGGACAGCTACGTGCCAACTCAGCCACCACAGGACTTCGCAGGAACTAGGTTACTACTACTAGCACCACGAAAGTTGAGAAAATCCATTGCATGAGCCAGCTCACTCTTTCAGCAAGACTACCGCGCACGCCTATCTCGAGTCGGCTAAACATCTGAAAGGTAGGGATAAAATTCAGGAAAATGGGGAAGGAGAGAAACTCCAGAGGAGGAGGCGATAAAAACAGAGGAGCAAAGGGAAAATTACTGACATGTTACCTAAAGTTAACCCAAACAGCACGCCACCGCTTCAGGAACACAGACTCGCATCAACATGTGGTAATTACAACTTTCTTTCAGGATATTCAAAGCTATATCCAAATATTTACGGTGTTTTACTGCTAGCTAATCAATATGCTAGCTAATCAATGTGCCGCAAAATATTAAGAGTGGATGGGTCAAAATTTAGCTTCTTTACTCAGCTCTGTTGTTGAAGGAGAATGTTTTAATTTCATTGTATGCGAGGCCCCCGAGACTGAAACTAGTTACTCGAGAGATATAGCAGATGTGATTTCAATACACGTTTCTTTACTCTAGGTGATACATAACCCACTGGTAAACCACAGACATGCAATCCAGAGAAAATGCATTTTGATACCAATTTGCTCAATAGCTTCAATAAAATTGGCAAGTCATTAATTATAAATTTCCCATGGAGAAACATTCTCTGTGGAACAATTGTCATTGTCACGTGATGCAGCTGGAAATAAATTGTTCTCTGGGCTATTGGAGTGACAGCTTCCACACAAGCTATCCTGACACACAGAAAGATGGCAAATACAAAACTGCTGCTACCTCCTACCTGAAGCGTGGACATCCCTAACAACATAAGCGAAAAAAGAGCAGAGATTAAAAGTCTGAAGCCAAGAGAGAATTTTCACGGAAGCTGGATATGGTTTATGGAATATAGTTTTGCAAGAAATAAGAATGCAAGGGTAAAGTTGAAACGGTTACAGCTAACGCAAAACTTTTTTGTTGGAAATAGTTTTCCCTCACCAAGTTCTTCAACCATAGATATCATACACACACATACACGTAGAAACAGAACTAAACCTGCAGATGAATTAGCTATTTCTCCCACTGGCTGAGAGGAGCAGAGATTATTTCTGTGATCAGTATTTACAAGCAGTTGGGAAATGCTCAGACTCCATGGTCACAGGAATCGCGTAAATAAATAAGTGGGTGGAGCGCACGGAAGAAAGGGAGCAGGAGAAAGAACGTGTAAGGGAAGCAAAGATGGAAAATGAGCTGAAAGGCTACTCCCCTAATAGTCCTCCTGATGCATCAGGTATAACACCAAATTTCTTTCCTCAAACACACCCCAATAAAGTGTGCTTTTAGGGAGCATTGAGAGAAATTACACAAAGAGAAAATTAATACTAGGAATAAATATAATTCAGTCCAGCCAATTTGACAATCAGATAAGCTGGTAGCAACTCAAGGCCAAAGTACTACTTAGGTGTTACACCCACGACACGGTCGTTATAAAGGTTTTGAAAATTCACAAAGGTGATATTCAAATAAAATAAAAAGATGGGAAACAAAGAAAAAAACATTTTAAAATAAATATATCTGAAGAGAAAATCTGGCCCTTCAAACACTCAAACGTTTCTCAATTTATTTGCAACACTTTGTTGGTTGTTTTCTTTGCTCTGTAACTGTACTAGTGGTTTATAACAGCTTTGCCAGTCATTTCTGCAAATTAATAAAATGATTTTATAATTTGAAAACAGGGCTGATATGCAAATAGCTTTGTGAGTCCTAGCTACAACTGGTTCTTGTAAAAGAACTGAGAACGTCTGTTTTACACGTTGTTTCTGCAGCAGTTGAATAGTCTTTATCCTCTCCTGCCCTACAGTCCTGTGTAGGTTTACTCTTTGTCGTGTTGCGCTTCAAAGGTAGCCAAAATCACCTCTCTGTTCACAAAGATGATTCCTGAAGTATTTTCCCAACTAAAGCTAACAGAACTTCAGTAGGTATTCAAACACAGATTTTCAAAGGAGTGAAACTGGGTACCTGCAATTGTTCCTTCTGAAAGACTCCCCTTGGTTTTAAGCTTGGAGATGTCTAAGATATAGTCTTAATATTAACGTCCCCCAAAAGTATTTTTGGGATCTCTTTCTCTGCAAGTGTCAAGATGCTATCTGTCCAGGTTGTGAGTCTAGGTTCGCTTAGCTGTAGGCTCAAGGAGTCTTTTTAGCCAGTTCTGGACTACCACTGAACAGTGAGTTCTGCTCCTGTTTACGCTTACCCCAAGTTATCTCTGCAGGAACACCAGCTACACGCTTTGGGTAAAGACTAGAGAAGTTTTAACTTGCTTGGCTCCCCTTGGAAAATGACAGAATTGCAGAAGGGTAAGTGAAATAGATATTTTGGTATTAATATGGCAGTTCTTTGCTACTTTAGGCACAATTTATCCATATTAAGTATCTGAAACTAACCCTAATCTAACTCAAACAGGGATTTCAAAGGTTTGCTTGCAAATAGTTACATGCATCTTTAATGGTTTTTCCTCTCATGTTCACTGTCACTTGCTTTCCACACATTTTAACTCTGAAAGCTTATGACTGCTTCTTCATTATTTATGACATTGTTGTGTCTTTTCTTGTGAAATTAAAAACTTCTTGCCACAAAAAGCTAGCTAATAATATGGCACATAAATCATTCTTTCACAACATTTAGTTCTCTATATGCCAAAAATAAATAAACGACCAAACCAAGGCTCCTGACCGTGCTTGGCATCTGACCAGCTTAATGCATGGAAAGGTTAAGATTACCTAAATACAGAAGCTAAGAGAGTTTGCAATTTATTGTATTGTCAGCACCACACTGTCTGAGAAAAAGGAAAAAACCTAATAACACACATTTACTCACGGCCCCGACTAAAGGTAGCGTAGTACAGCTAGAGGGAAAAGACTAAATGAAAATGAAGTGGAAAAGGATCTCTGAACATATCTCCTGACAACTGGTTATATAATTAAAAAAATACCATTAACTCCACTGATACAAAATTCACAGTATAAAGTTTTCCACTCACAGTATCAAGGCTGGCGGCACACTGCTGTATTTGCAGTGCCGTAAGTACACAAGGTGTTAATCCTCCTGGGCTGTGCTCAAAAAATTATTTAACATTCAGACTATTATTTAGCATACAGCTGGCTCACAGTTTCCCCCTAAAACGTTGGCTGGCGTCCCACATTTTTTTGTTCTGGCACATACCTGGAGCTGCAGAGGGCTGAGTCCAGAAGCAGCGGCAGCTGCCATCGTAGAAGGAATGAACTGCACCGGGTAGTTCTCACCTGTCGGAGAACAATGCACGCAGGTTCAGACAATGAGCGCAGAAGAGCAGCCGACAAGCGCAAACAGGGCCCCAGCACTGCCGGGGCTCTCCAGCACTCCTCTAAGCCTAAACATCTGCAAAAACAAAAGGCTTAGCTGGGCACGGGCTTGCCATGCTCCCCTGGAACTTTTTGTTAGCAGATAGCTGGTAGGCAAACTGGCAAAACTTAAACGTGATACTCCCAATTTGCAGTTGCCGAAGCAACGTTCCAGTCCAGCACGGGAACTTGGGCACAAAACGGGGCTTAGACACACAGACGAGATACCTTAGGAAACCCTGGTGATTCCCAGCAGGAAAAAAATAGTTGCTGCTGGGTGTTGCTCAAAAGAGCATAAGTATGTTCTAATCTGGGAAAAGGCAGCCCCGACAACGCAGGACGATTTCTTTTCAGTATCAGGTGGCTTTTTCCTGGGCAAGCTACCTATCAGCACAGGTCGAGGTTGTTTTTTCTGTTTTTGCTTTGAGGTTTTCTGTCTTGTGACCATTCCCTTCAGGTAGCCACAGACAAAAGTAAAATTCAAGCACTTTTAAAAACAGCCTGAAATATAATTTTGTCTATTGCTTAGACCCTGGGCCCTGCTCAAGTTGAAAGGTTAGGAAACCTAAAATTTCTGTGTTCTGTTCACTAGTAAGGAAAAATATGTACCTTCTGCATCGAGAGGACAATGAATACTCTGGAAAATAAAAAATACTACTGATCTAAAAGAAGTACTGCAACTTCATATTTCATAGCATCTATGGGTCCTGCCACTTCCGAGCCACAGCAACAACATGTCATACGGTGCCATTAAGACTCTTAGTCAATGTAAACAATGAGGGAATGCTGGAACAGCTTAACAGTGCAATCTGCAGTATGAAGATTAATAAAGCGATGGATAAATTACACAATAACTAGGATTTTATGGCGTATCGCTTTGACTCAAGCTTCTTATTTAAAGTCAGTGTTATGTACTATCTGTAGGCTACATTTTAATAGGCTGCTCTTCTGCACATTTTTGAGATTTGTAAGAAGTCTGTTTTGTGTGAATTTTCCCACATTGAAAGCAGACTCATAGTGAGGGAAAATACAGAAATCCAAAATAGTATAATCAGGACATTGCAAGAGTTAGATTTGTTGTCAACCCCTTCAAATAAAACACAATTCCTGAAGTCTTTGCAATCACTCAGTTCCTCAGAATTCTCCCTATTTACCACCTGAAGTGCTATTGTATTCAGCGCAGTTTAAATGTTCAGTTGTTCCACTTTTTTAATAAATTGTACATTTCTAATCCACAAGGTCTCTTTGCATCATATCCATAATACCTCATCAGACCATTGAGCACAGTATGTGCTTGTACACAGTCCAGTAACAATTGGCTTCTGATTGCATATGAAGCTCTGCTACAATGCATTCACTAACACTATATTGTACTGGTGTCCTATGGAGTAATGTTCAAAATATCTCCTCTTATTTTCCCCCTTCCATGAGGTTGATTTTGGTTTGCAAAGATGTTGGGTTTTTTTTTTCCCTTAAAAAAGGCAACATAAAACCCTAAATTCTTTTCTTATAGTACTAAAGCTGTCTTTTTATGGTTAAATAATTCTACTCATCTCTTTGATATTTATATGAAATTATCTGAATAAGTAAGATCCTAATCTAAGTTAAACAATGTTTCTTGCACAAATATCTTACAAGGTTTTAAAAAAATCACAAAGATGTTGAATTAATGATGCCTTAAATGGGGGGGAAAATAACCATCCGAGTTATCAGCATGGACTGCCTTGCAGAACATTTCGGAGGCATTCTTTCTTTAAATATCATGAATTATTCATTCCTGTTCCACACAGCAATCTCCTCTTCCTCCCTCCCCCTCCACATACACTTTTCAAGTTCAATACCAGTTGCTTTATTTGTACTAAAACATTTTCCATGTCAAACATATTTTTAAAAAAAATCAAACTCTAAAAGAATTCCCTGTGGCACTCCTTTTTCACAGCTGTCATGCTTCTATAGCTTGAAATAGCCGGATATTTTATACAGGCACACGCGCACACACACACACACACACAGGTTTTGGCTTCACAGTTAATTTAATAATTTCTCTGCCACACCCTGTAGTGTTCTCTTGCTCACCTGCTGGCTACAGTTCTTTCTTTTGTAAAGGGAAAGTATAATTTTATATTTATGCCATTTCTATATTATTAAAACATAATACTGCCCCTTCTTTTTTCTCTCATTTTAACACCTTGAATTATGGTTAAGTCCTGGTGTGTTAACAATACCATTATGCTGAGAACAAAAATTAATACTCTTTTAGCTAGGGAATATTTTGCTGACACCAAGCAGAAAGCAGAGCAAAGGTACTTCTTGTTCTCCCTTGAGGAAACTCTGCATGCAGGGAACAGACTGGTTTTAATTTTTAATTACAGAAGGTACATATTTCCCCCCTCTAATTTTCTCAGTACAAGAATGGATCAAGAAGCTTCTCGGTAGCTGTTTTGGCAAGAAATCAGTCAACGTATTGTAGCAATTTTTTTCAAATTTGTTTCTCTATCTGGAATGCTTGCGTGCAGATCCATTCTTCTGCTTTCGTACAAAGGAAGACAAAACGTGTTCAAACAGGTCTGCTTCAGGTACTGGTGCGCGCTGGCCTCTGATAACCAGGAGGGAGAAGACTGCTGACAGAAGAAAATCTGCCTGTTTTGCAAACTGAGCTCTTCAATCTTGTTGCTGTGTTGATCGTTATATATAAATTGGTGTTTACAAACCATGGAAAAGCATGCCAGGCTTCTGTTTCATTTGTCAGGTTGGGCAACATTTCCAAACGAATAAAGGCCACAAACAATTGTACCATGCTCCTCTACCTTGAAATAACGCAAATGTTTCTCTGTTTGTCTTGCATGAAGCAAAGCAGCTTAGTGGATTTTATTCATAGGAAGTATGGATTTACTGTCCAGACTGAGGTGATCTGTGAGAAAAAGGGAGCCCAGCGAAAAGATGACACAACTCTAGTAAAACGCCGGTTAGGGGAAGGTGCTGGTTTTGCCACTCATCTTTTCTGAAACCCAACCGTAAGACATAAACTGACTCTCCTCATCTCACTCACAGAGCTTTCTGCTTGATGATAGTCTCTCCACTTCGGGATTGTAACTTAAAATCTGTCCCCTCACACTGGGCGCTCAAGTTGCCACTTGCACACTTTCCGTGTGTAATCACAGAATAACAGCAAACAGTCGGAAGAGGCTTAGTGGATCTTGTATCTGGCAACTGACCTTCCCAAGGCAGAATGAGCAGACCGAGGAGAGCACACCTCTACTCATGCTGTTGTCAGGATACATCACGCTGACACAAGAGATGCCCATGCCTGTAATATTCCTGCACAGGACATGAGGGGTTGTTTTGTGCACGGACATCAGGATCAAGGAAGATGGTAATAAAAGTAATAGGCCAAAGAGATATCATGGAGAATCTGCTCTCTCCGGTGATGCTATTTCAGTTCTCCTGGCTGTGTTTGGGACAAGGGCGACCACAGCAGTGCCTCTCTGAGCGCCTCATGCTCAGCAAACTCAGCTGCACTAGCAATTGTCTGCCTCTGGAAAAAGCACTAACTTTGGTGGAAATTGCAGTTGAAAATATTCAGCTGCCTACTACCAGTTCCAGCTGTTACCTCAGCTTTTAAAACTGAGGCACATGTGGATTGCTGCACTGCATCCTGAGGTTACTGATTCCTTGTTCCGACCAGCTAAGCCCAAGAGGGAACACACGACAGATTTTAACTCAGTCCTGGGGAACTTCCTTTAGAAATGAGACTCACACAGCACCTCCACCATACAAAGATACGCAGCGAACTCAGTACACAGTTGATTTGATGTACGCTTTCTGCTCTTTCCTGGCAAAAGGAACGGCAGCTTACTGAAAATAGAATACTGTGCTATATACAACAAAGTTCCTCACTGCTTTAGGAAAAACTTCTGAAAGGACTGTTCCAAACGGAAACAACAAAGATGGGTATCAGTAAAAGCCAGGACATTCGAGTCATGTAGATTAGCTATGCTAATCAACGACTTTAAGTGGGCCTTATGATATATATTTCACAGTATTGGAAAATCCTAAGGTCCAGTCTGATAACAATGAGCCTGACAATTTCATTTGTTGTGCTTTTATATGCTTATCATCCTCGATTTTAAAGGAGTTACTGTTGATTCACCCCACTGCAAGCAAGAACAGAACCAGGCCAAAACTTTATCTTCATTTCTCACTTTTTTTTGCCACTGACCTAGGAAAACAGTCTCCATTTTCGTATTTCCTCATATTATCAGCAGAGCAAAATCTATCGTTATTTTTGTGTCTCAAAGAGAATGACCTGGATAGGGAGATGGAGGTTATTTCTCCATCATTCTAATCATGGTCTATACATGAAATATGAATAAACACCGTGAAATACACTGCAGCGTATCACTCTAAAAAAAAAATCCTCTGAATCAGGGATCACACTCTCCATACCTCAAGGTCTATATTTTTTCTATTCTGTTTCATTGACACTTTCCACATCTGGTAAAGAACTGTCATAACATAGAATATTTTCAGAAGACTATTCAGGAAAACTGATCATTGGTTTCCAAGTCACGCGGACTGCTGTTAGGCAGACCGCATGGAGAACGGCCCTCCCACTCTCCGCAGGTAGCGGCTTTGCTGCTCAGAGAACCGTCTGGCTGCCACGCAGCGTTCATCCATACCTTTACTCTGCCATCATTGTTCTTCTTTGGTTACTCGTAGTCCCAAAACTTGAAGGAAGTAATACTTTAGGCACTGCAAGATGGAGGGGGAAACTGTCTTCCTTCCTTGTCCCACTCACCAGCTGGAAAACAACAACCCCTCTGGACCCAGTGCGCTAATGGGGACAGGCTAATCATTTTCAAGAGTACTCCAACCCACTGACTTTTCCTGGATGCATGTGGCTGGTTAAGTGAAGGGCAATTCACACTGGGAGAACAGGTATAATGGTACTTCTGTTATCCACCAGTTCCAACTAGTAAGTAGAGTGGTCACAGTCAGAAAACCAGAGTAGTTGCTCTGCTCTACTTGGAATGCAAAATAATGCTATTAACTGTGTGGCATCTCTGGGTAAGTATTAGCTCCCTACCAGCTGCCGCTCGCAGCTTCCCGCTGGAATAAGGGGCGACCCCCACAACCAGGTATCCTGCAAGGCTCGTCAAGCGCCTGCAGGTCAATAGTCACAACAGTCATTTGAGATGCACAGCGCCCTAAAGTTCTAATTAATCCAGTATACAGTATAAATACTGAAATATGTATAAAAAATTAATTAGGTGGTCTATGCAGCTCTGATTTCTCAATTAGTACTTACCATGCCGGAAAATTATATTACATGACTTTGAGATACATAAGGAAGCATGGGACTTTGGGGATTTTTTTTTTTAAATGTAATTATTACTTGTCATCAGTGCTTGCTAACTGCTTCATCTGCTATAGCTCCAAAATAAGGGAGAGAGGGCTGCAGTCACCTAGCGTTATGGATCCTGCCAGGTAGCAGGAAGCTCTATCCTGTAAGACTTACTTTAATAGAAATTTTAGCAGTGTTTCAACCATTCCTAGAATTTCTCTACATTATGTCACTTCTGAGCCCAGGAGTTCAGGCATCAAGATTGCCTGTTCTCATAGGGTTCCTGATCCTAAATCCTCCTCGCCTCAAGAGGACCTTCCATTAAAGGCATGACCTAGTGTAGCTTGTTTTAGGAACGGCCATTTTCTTACTGAAAGGCATAAAGTTTAATGGCAGATTTGCAACAGCACTCAGTAGCTTCCAATCTTGGCATCAGGCTAAACAGCCAACAGCTTCTTCCCCACTTAGCCAACGAAGATACACCTGCATGGACACGTACAGATAATCATACCCCCACTTGTGCTCCACGGCAGGACTTTTTATCCTGGCTATAGCAGCACATGAACGCTGATATTCTGTGCTTACAAGCTGGAGCTGGCTAACATCTAGCCCCTTTTGCAGACAAAGCAAATAAATGACTGTGTGCATACGATCACTGGACATTCCCCAAATGACACAGACAGGGTTTCAAAGGTGCCCAGTTCCACATTATTGAAATCCATCTTACTGTATTTTCTGAATGCCAAGGAAAACTGGCACTGTCAAAACTCATGCTTGCCTATGTCAAACTAGATTAAAATGAAATAGAAACTAAACAGGCAGTCAAAAAGAACACTGTAAGTATCTGAAGGGTTAATCTACCTCCTTTCTCTCCTCTCTGTCTTTAGAAGTAGCAGCAAGTCTAAACTGACAGTTCTAGAGGTGAAAGTTTCATTCCTTCACAAAAGTGGAAGAATATAGGTAGCTGCAGTCAAGTTCATAAATATTCCTCAGAAATGACTTTGAAGAACCCTCTCTATGAAAG